TAGCACAAAATGTAGTAACCCTAGCGCAAACGTCAAAAACTTTGACGTTTCAAAGTAGGCCTAATAATTATTTTCACCAGTCAATATAAAATGACGCCTTTTATGACGTCGGAAATGGTATCACACCAATATAGCGGCAACTACCAAAAACGAGGCCGGTAAGCACTCCTTAGAGTGTGTATTCTCCTTGGTTTTAGGGCTCCCTTTTTGCGTAACGTCACGAGCCTGTAGAGTAGAATTTTTTTGATTACGAGCCTGCAGGGCTGGAATTTTCAGAATTACGAGCCTGTAGGGCGAGAATTTTTTAAGCACGAGCCCGTAGGGCGAGAGTTTTTTTTTTAATGACGAGCCTGTTATTCTGGTGATTAAAACACTCGTCCTACGGGCTCGAAATTAAAAAACCCTCGCCCTACGGGCTCGTGATTAAGAAAACTCTCGCCCTACGGGCTCGTGAGGTTACGCAAAAAGGGAGCCCCAAAACCAAGGTTGTTTGAGAGAGATAGATTGCCTGGTAACTGTATGACGTCATCTGGGGTGCCTCAAAATACTGCAAATCTTCATAAGGCACCCCAGATGCCTCATCAAGTTACCCATTACCAGATGGCCTATTAGCTTTAGGAACCTTGCCCCAAAACGCCCAAAATAAATAAATAGACGCCATTTTGTATCGACTGTCAAAAATAATTACAAAGCCTACTTTGTGCGAACATAGTTGCCAAAAGTAAAAAAGAAAAATTACTAATGTACTGTCAAGATTAAAAACAAAAGTTACTGAATAAATTACATTTAAAATTTGAATTTGCCGAGTATTATGAATGTTTTTGAAAAGAAAAGCCATCAATTTTAGCTTGTATTGGGCAGAATAGAAATAATAGAATATCTACCTATTTACTTTCGTCAGTCAGAGAGAGAAAGTGAACAAACAACAAGGATAGCGAGACTCAATCATTTAGTTACTTTTGTTTTTAATGTTGACAGCCCGCTAGTAATTTTTGTTTTCTTCTTTTGGCAACTATGTTCGCGCACCGCAATATGGCGTCGCGTCCAAACAAAAGGTCAATTGGGACCAATGAACTAGAGCTAAAAACTGGAATGCGCACACAGTGCCATATCTGCCAAAAAAATGAAGCCATGAAAGACAGATGCCACAACGGGGAATGTTGTCTTTTTCTGTTGCTCGCTGACATATGACGTTTTCGAAAGTTTTGTCATATTTTCCTTCACAGGTTTCATCAATTGAAATACGTGTTGGAAGCAATTTTCGCCATTTAACATAATGAGTGCGACAAAAACAGGTATCCCCTCCGCAGCAGCCGCACTAGGCTTCACGTTCGTCCTTATTTGTTAGCATTCCAGTTTTTGGTTATAGTTCATTGATTGGGACCAATGAACTATAACCAAAAACTGGAATGCGAACACAATATGGCGAACGTGAGGCCTAGTGCGGCTGCTGCGCAGGGGATACCTGTTTTTGTCGCACTCATTATGTTAAATGGCGAAAATTGCTTCCAACACGTATTCCAATTGATGAAACCTGTGAAGGGAAATATGACAAAACTTTCGAAAACGTCATATGTCAGCGAGCAACAGAATAAAACAACATTCCCCCTTGTGGCATCTGTCTTTCATGGCTTCATTTTTTTGGCAGATATGGCAATGTGTCTTATGGCCGTTTCCACCAACTATTTTAGGGAAGCCCTAACGATAAGTATTCCCTAAACTGACATTTCTCCATGGAAAACTGTCAGTTTAGGGAATACTTATCCTTAAGGCTTCCCTAAAATAGTTGGTGGAAACGGCCATTAGAGCAGGTAAAGGTAAAGGAGTAGTAACCTGGATTTGGAAAATGAAGCCGTTTTTTTCCAGGTATCTTGGCCCACAAAAAATGGCGGTTATGGCAATTCAATGCTCTACCTGTATTTTGGTGCCAAACACCTGCCAAAAACCTGGCTTCACTTTAGTTTCATAAGCAGAATGGCGCGTTCCTACTCCTTATGTCCGTAGGATAGCGCTTTACCTGCTCTAAGCAATGTGTGCGCATTCCAGTTTTTAGCTATAGTTCATTGATTGGGACCCCGAAAGATTAAAAAGATGTCATTTTGGGGCTAACTGTCAAAAACGACAAAACCTACGTCAGTTTTTTGACGTTTGTTGTGTTATGAGCGGTGTTGCCATATTTGTTTTAAAATTACGAGCCCGAAGGCCCGAGGTTATTTTAAATTACGAGCCCGGTTTTATCATTATTCGTGCGTATTACTAGACAAAAACCCTCGCCCCTACAAACTCGTGATTTAAAAAAACCCTGGCTCGGCGGGCATTTTATGTCACAAGGGTGGGATCTTCCCAAGGATAATACACACTACTAAGGATTGCTTATCAGCCGCGTTTTTGGTAACTGCCGCTATACTGGTGTGTCACCATTTTCGACGTCATAATTAAGTCGTGAACTGTTTGATTTTCATTAACATAATAGGCAAAGAGGAAGATGAAAACGAGATCTATAGGCAAGTGGTAATTTGATAGAGATGAAAGGAGGAAGAAAAGTGGGGCGTAACCTAAGAATATTCACTGACACCTAAACTAACATAGGATTGCCAACCCTTCCGATTTCTATTAGGCAATTCAAACCACGTGACTTTCAAGATGGCGTGGCGGCCACACATGGGCCAAAAAACAGAAAAAAATATCTAGATTCTGCTCGATTTATTAGTTTAGGTACCTAGTCAACAAATATTTTATTAAATAGTCCAAATCAAAGTTGCAAGCAAAACTCTAAGCAAAATAATTTGAAATACGCATAAAAACACATTCAAAACAAACTTGCTTGGCCGCCACGCCATATTGAATTTCCCTATCTGACAGATGGATTGAATTGCCTAATGGGCGGGAGACTCCCGCTTTTTTGTCAGGCCTCCTGCCGTAAAACATCGCAGCAAAAATTCGCGCTTTCTAAAGAAACTCCCGCTAAACTCCCGCTTTTCAACAATTTCGCATTTGAGTAAAGAAAAATGATAATTCAACGGGCATTTGCATCTTTTATTTAGGGTTTTTGGATGTTCTTGGATTTGGATATAATTAAGCGCCTTATTTAATTGGACATCTTACACTAACAAAATTGACAAGTATTTTTGGAAACATGTATCTTGATGACGTCATCTATGGTGCCTTATGGAGATTTACATTATGTTGAAGAGGTTAAGGCCATTAGAACAAGCACCCCAGATGACTTCATAAAAGTTAACAGGCAACCTAACCTTGCCATCTACCATCGTTCATCGATTACGCATGCACTTCAAAGCCTCTTCATTTAAACCTACTCTTCTTGTAATTTTTCCGGAAAAATTGGAAAAAACGAGTTGACAAGTAATTTGTTTAACAAAAAGTACATTTGACTGACACAGGGTGTTTTAACGACTGTTTCGTAAAAATTTGGACGTGGCACCTAAAAATTTAAACCTCCCGCGTTTCCATTTCAAAAACTTGGCAATCCTAAATCGACACCGCCTGTTGACAACCATGTCAAGGGTTCCGTGGTACCGAAAACACCAAGGAAATAAACCAATAAAAATATTAGAAAAAAAAATTCTTTAGTTTCACCAACGCCACTGTGCTCTAATCAATAGAATATGCTCATATTGTAAAAAAAAAATATGTCATCAACTTGTTTATGTTTCCGTCAAGTTTGGCAAATTCTATTGCAGTTCGCCGTTTGGCTAGCCAGACTATAAAAAAGAGTTGTTTTAGTATGTTAATTAATGTAGCCCATGGAATCATAACCTGTAGTGCAAATATAGTCTTCGCCAAGGCTAGAAAAACGACATGCTGCCTATGTCACCACTGGTGACTTGGCGTGGTGAGTGGCTTCAGATTTGTTCTACACAAGCCTTGAAGCCTTATGAGGATAGGCTATCTCGTAGTAATGTCTATCGAATTTAATCTGATACTCCAAAGGAATGTGAGCTGGTGGCTCCTTACATTAGAACTCCAATGGTTACCTGACATCACACCTGTTTTTGCCATATGAAACACCCCCTCGCTCCTCATACGGAAAGTGTCAGATTAAAAACGACTAGTAGTGTGTATTATCCTTGGGATTTTCCTACTCTTCCTTCCAAAATGGTAAAATTTCAATTTTTTTTTTGTGGAGATTTTAACTTCAGATGATCATTTGGGACCCCAGAAACTCCATACAGCATACAGCCATTTATTGTGGGATTTGAAGCCGAAATATACAGGGTGTCCAAGCTGAGGATGTCTATCATGGGAATCTCGTGAACGGTAGCAGATACGGCAATGGTTTAATGGGAAAAAAGTTGGGGAATTTACCGTTCAATAAAACGGTACTTTACGACGGCGTATTACCATTGTTTACATCCACTTAAATATTAGGAAAATCAACGTAACACACGGAACTAACTTCAACTTAAGGAAATCCGTGCGTTAATTTCAATAATAATTATGAATGACGGATAGATTTAACTAGTCTGTGATTATCGTCATTGGTAATTACTAATGAAGTGATTACAAGTAGGAAAATTAGCTTCGGACAGTTAAAAATTCAATTGTATTGGTTCTACCTGAACCAAATTCGAATTGATTTTTCCAAGTACAAAAATATAAAATCTACCTAAACCAGACCCCTAAACCATTATTCTAAACCTTGAACAAAAATAATAATTTAGAAACCGTTAATTAAGAATATCCATTAACTTTAAACTTTTCACCGACTTTAAATTCAGCTAATACGCCCCTGTGGCTTCTTCTAATCGATTATTCCCTCCTTTCCGACAAACGTCATTCGGAAAGCGAGCGCGCTCAGTTGATATACGATCTGCTCCTATGTACGTAAATTACAGTTTCCTGTTTGACCTCGCCCAAATTTTTCGCTTTTTCAGTCATAATAAAACGAAAAGTCAATCTGAAAATATCTCAAATACGGATTAATTTCATTTTTGGGCAAATCCTTTTAGATGAAGGGTGAAATAAGGGCTAGTGATTAAAGTTATTAGAGTGGAAATTGTAAATCCCGCGCAAAGTGCAAGAGAGAAAGACAACCCAAGCCGGTTAAGTGTCTATCTCCGTCAGTGCGAGCCGATCCGCCATTCCATTTTGATTTGACAGTGACGCCGGAAACAAGCTTTAATAAGTCCGCGTGTTCTTGTAGTGTTTTAAGTGGAAAAAAAGCAGCGAAAACACGATGGATACCGCGCAAAATGGCTCGGCAGGTATCAAACCTGGCCAGGAAGAGGACAAGAAGCTCTTCGTCGGCGGGCTCACCCTCGAAACGACCGAAAAAGAATTGCAAGACTACTTCGGACAGTTCGGCCCCATACAAAATGTGACCATCAAAATCAACCCGCAAACCGGTAAGTCGAAAGGGTTTGCCTTTGTCTTGTTCAACGCGGCCGATACGGTCGATCAAGTTTTGACCCAGAAAGAACACACAATCAACGGCAAAACCGTCGACGCCAAAAAGGCCAAAGCCAAGCCCGGCAAAATTTTCGTCGGCGGCATCACGCCCGAATTGACCGATGACGACATCAAACAATACTTTTCGCAATTCGGCTCCATCACCCAAGTCGAGATGCCCTTTGACAAAACGAAAAATCAACGTAAAGGTTTCTGCTTTATCACCTTCGAAAACGACGCCATCGTTAAAGAATTGCTCAAGAAACCCAAGCAAACCATCAAAGATAAACAAGTGGATGTTAAAAAAGCCGCCACTCAACCAAACAACATGATGGGTGGACGTGGTGGTGGAGGTAGTTGGGGGGCTGGAGGCCGTGGAGGCCAATCTCGTGGCGGACGCGGAGGACAAGGAAGCTGGGGAGGTGGCGGCGGCTGGGGCGGCCAAGGTGGCTGGAACGACTACAGCACCGGCTATGGAGGTGGATACGATAATGGTTACTCAGGAGGTTACGATTACTACGGTGGAGGTTATGGAGGCGGCTACGGCATGGAATCTGGTTATGGACCAACTGGAGGCGGCGGCGGTGGTAGCTACGGAGGTGGACGTGGCGGAGGCGGCGGTGGCCGAGGTGGTCGCGGTGGCGGTGCCAGAGGTGGCCAAAGGCACCAGCCTTACTGAAACCTGAGTGTAATTGTAGACTTTTAAGGAGAAAATGTGTGAGAATGTTTTTTTTTTGTGCAGTGATTACATAGCATTCGATGCTATATATTGTAATAATATTATTGTGGACTTCCAGAAACCAGGATTTCAGTTTTTGTATTTTTTTCAGTCTCTTTTATTTTTTTCTCACGATTAATTTTTGTAAAGTTAAAAATTTGTCATCAGTCGCTATTTATGTTTGTGCCTCTTATTCAAGAGGAGTATGAAAAAGAGAAATGTTCAAGTAACATTTCTACGTTTATTTCCATATTTAATTAATCATAATAATTATAAAAATAAATAACTTAAATAAATAAATAACCTCTCTGAAAAACTCTCTAATCTCTTTTCTTTATTTTATTATTACAACTAAATTTACATATAACTATGTAAAACAAAAAACTACCTCAAATTTTTTCGTATACAATGATGTTTTTTATATAAAATATTAATAAAAAAAATCCTAAAAAAATAGTAAAAAACTAAAAAAAAAAACCAAAAGAAAAAACAACTACAAAAGATTACGAAGCAACACTTTGTGGGTACTTATTTAGTAGCTGTTATTTTGCTACTGTAAGTAAAACTATTTTTTAAATAAATTGTACTATAAACATTGTATAATGTGGTGTTTTATTAAACAATATAAAACAGGTACAATAAATTTGCCGCCAAAAATAAAATAATTACCATATTTGGTACAAACGATGTAAGTATAGGTATTTTATTAAAAAGATAAATTTTTCAAGTAGTGAAAATTTATCAGTTAAAAAAAAAAACCAAGTTCAAATTTATATTTTTGGCAAACCACGTGCTGTTTACTCATTTCGAGCCAGCACGTCAAAATGGCGGCATGGTCATTGGCGTCATTCCATAAAGAAGTTCATTCACACCAGTATTTTTGGCTGTGAAAACCTTCATTTCTAATTATTTCACGTTCAAGGTGGAATTTTTCCATGTGAAACATTCAATATCAATAGACAATTTATTGAGCCATTTATTTTATTATTCATATTTATTTTAGTATTGTATTTCTTTTCATTGATGATGTCATCTTTGAAGGGACAACTTGCCTTGCGCCTTCGCTTCGACCTTCGTCAAAGTTTTATGTGTGCGTTTGTGGACGGTTTGCTTTGAATCTTGACTGTTTGGTAATTTATCGCTCGGCTGATAGGTGGCGCCACGTATCAAGATTGAAAAGAATCGAATTCATAAATCAATGGATGACGCTTGCAGAAAAATAGTGATGTGGCATCGGTGCTCAAACATTGATAGGGCGCTTTGTTTTATTCATCGGTAATCAGCCTCTTTTTGTCTAGATCATAGAAAATTGGAATGTCTGTTTCATAATGCTGGCAGCAGATGGATCCGTTGCTGAATAAAAGAACGTGCCCATTGTGATATCGCTTGATAACTATCGATGTTTGAGGCGGTTTTCAGTCTGAAATGATTATTCATCGGTAAATACAGTCTAAGGTAAAGGTAAATACCGTGGTTATTCTTTTGGTTGACAACTTTGACAGTCAGGTGTGACGTCATAGCCCTCCACCACTCAAAAATCATAACCCAAAGCGTTTCAACAATGGTTTCTGGTTTAGGTACAAAAAATAGAGGGGAATCTCTAATTAATCAAGGAGATTCTCTTTGGGGATGATCTAAATTCTTAACATGGTGAGTTGCAGTGAGTGTATAGTTCCTCCATTGTGCCAGGCCACAACACAACTGTAAAATCACAAAACACCAATACCAATCCCCAAAATAATAACAATAACATCAAAAAACTGTAACCAAAAGATTAACCTAAGTCCAAAGCTAGGTTATAATCGGCTATAAGTGGTAAATACCAAAAGCAAATCAGCTGATCTGTGACGTCACGACTTCCCCTACTTTGATAAAATAAAAACCACGCTAGCGGAAATGCATTGGTTAAAATCAAATGATAATCATTCCGCTAAAAAATCAAATCGCCTAGGATAATACACGCTAAAGGCGATTTTCAGCCTGGAATGATTATTAATTGGTTTTAATCAATGCATTTCCGCAGTTGCGGTTTTTACCAAAGTAGGAAAAGTTGTGACGTCACAAATCAGCTGATTTGCTTTTGGTATTTACCATTTATAACCGATTTATATGTTTTTTTTGTTATACAGGGTGTCCCACAATCAGCGTTACAGACCATAACTTTCTTATTTTTAGAGAAAAAAATTTGAAACAAAAAAAATGACTAATGCTTAGTTAACCTCTTTCCAAAAATATTAAAAAAATCTTCCCCTGATAAAATCATCCCCTATTTACAACCCTTGACTTGTTTTTTTCAAATGGCACTCCTATTATTTATTTTTATTTTTGAGAAGCTTTATGAAATTGCAAATTCAATGATATACCGGGTGCCCACGAGATCACTTTCCGGCTACCATTTTTTTATTTGTGCATGAATATCAACGAAACTTGATAGGGTTGATATTCTAACCAAACGCCTTTTTTTATGCATTTATGACAAGTTTTCCTGACTTCCGGTTCCACCGGAAATGACTGGAACTTTTGATTTTTAAATGGCACACCCTGTATATTTTTTGTTTTTCGGATTCTACCCATCGTTTAACGTCATAGTGCACTACTTTTGAACCGGGTTTTATTAAAATTTTGTTTTTAAATTAAATTTTAATTTTCTAACTAGAATGCCATGATCATCCTAAAACGACTCTACATACTTTACTTAATTTCAGAAAAATACAAACTCAATTTTATCTTTGTAAACTTTTCTGATAGAGGGCTGTAAACTTCATTATTTTAGTATTTTTGCCCTAGCTCAAAAACTAGAATAGAAACATATCACTTTCATAACATTACTAAATGAAGTATTTTAAAGCGAATCCAACGATATACACTACGACATTTTTCTTAATTTTCGTTCAAATATTTTTGTGTTATTATGTTGGTATTTTTTTTTTTTTGGACAAAACTCGATTTGAAAGTGGTACATTGAGACGTAAAACGATTTGTAGAATCCAAAAAACAAAAAATATACTGTGCGTGAAGTACTCACTTTACGCACTATTCAGAAGATGTAAAATTTATCTTCACGCACTAGTGCGTTAAGTAATTTACTTCACACACTAGTGCGTGTAAAGTAATGTCAATGACAGATGTCGACACTGTCAAATAACCATTTTTCTGGTAAATTACTTCACGCACTAGTGCGTAAAGTGAAAATACTTTACGCACACTAGTGCGTAAAGTATTTTTACTTTACGTACTAACGTAAAGAATTTGTCTATATTCATTTTCCCATACATATTTGATTGGTAGTAGAAAAAATTTTATGTCTATCAACTTAGCGAGACAACTTCGAAAAATCGATTTTCCATTATGCCAAGAATTTGCCGCTTTTTTGCCGCTAATTAAATGTGGAATTAAAAAATTTGCCGCTCTTTTGGTTTTTTCTTAATTACGTGTTTTGCTAACTTGACGTCAAGATAGCGAGACAACATCACTAAATATGTCGGCAGTAAAAAATTAGGTAGGTGAAAATTTGCCGTTTTTTTGCCGCTAATTAGTTGTGAAAACCAAAAATTTGCCGGTTCTTTTTTTTTCATAAAAAATCAAGTTTGAAAAAAAAATCATTTGTCTCGCTAACTTGACATCAAGTTAGCGAGACATTATCACTAAAAATGTCGGTAGTGAAAAATTGAATGAATGGAAATTTGCCGTTTTTTTGCCGCTAATTAGTTGTGAAAACCAAAAATTTGCCGGTTCTTTTTTTTTCATAAAAAATCAAGTTTGAAAAAAAAATCATTTGTCTCGCTAACTTGACATCAAGTTAGCGAGACATTATCACTAAAAATGTCGGTAGTGAAAAATTGAATGAATGGAAATTTGCCGTTTTTTTGCCGCTAATTAGTTGTGAAAACCAAAAATTTGCCGCTTTTTTTTTTTACAAAAAAATCAAGTTTGAAAAAAAAAATGTGTTTCGCTAACTTGACGTCAAATTAGCGAGACAACATCACTAAATATATCAGCAGTAAAAAATTAGGTAGGAGAAAATTTGCCGTTTTTTTGCCGCTAATTAGTTGTGAAAACCAAAAATTTGCCGGTTCTTTTTTTTCTCATAAAAAATCAAGTTTGAAAAAAAAAATCATTTGTCTCGCTAACTTGACATCAAGTTAGCGAGACATTATCACTAAAAATGTCGGTAGTGAAAAATTGAGTGAATGGAAATTTGCCGTTTTTTTGCCGCTAATTAGTTGTGAAAACCAAAAATTTGCCGCTTTTTTTTTTACAAAAAAATCAAGTTTGAAAAAAAAAAAATGTGTTTCGCTAACTTGACGTCAAGTTAGCGAGACAACATCACTAAATATGTCAGCAGTAAAAAATTAGGTAGGTGAAAATTTGCCGTTTTTTTGCCGCTTATTAGTTGTGAAAACCAAAAATTTGCCGGTTCTTTTTTTTTTCATAAAAAATCAAGTTTGAAAAAAAAAAACATTTGTCTCGCTAACTTGACATCAAGTTAGCTAGACATTATCACTAAAAATGTCGGTAGTGAAAAATTGAATGAATGGAAATTTGCCGTTTTTTTGCCGCTAATTAGTTGTGAAAACCAAAAATTTGCCGCTTTTTTTTTTACAAAAAAATTAAGTTTGAAAAAAAAAATGTGTTTCGCTAACTTGACGTCAAGTTAGCGAGACAACATCACTAAATATGTCAGCAGTAAAAAATTAGGTAGTTGAAAATTTGCCGTTTTTTTGCCGCTAATTAGTTGTGAAAACCAAAAATTTGCCGCTTTTTTTTTTACAAAAAAACCAAGTTTGAAAAAAAAAAAAAAAATGTGTTTCGCTAACTTGACGTCAAGTTAGCGAGACAATATCACTAAAAATGTCGGTAGTGATAAGTTGAGTGAGTGAAAATTTGCCGTTTTTTTGGCGCTAATTAGATGTGAAAACTAAAGATTTGCCGCTACCTTTCTTTTCATAAGAAAATCGTGTTCGAAAATAAAATATAGTTTTGCTAATTTAACGTAAAGTTAGCGAGATCACTAAAAATGTCGGTAGTGATAAATTGAGTGAGTGGAAATTTGCCGCTAAATAGCTCTTTTTCTAGAAGAAAATATCGCGTTTGAAAAAATATAATGTGTTTCGCTAACTTGACATCAAGTAAGCAAAACAGTATCATTAAAAATGTCGGTAGAGAAAAATTGAGTGGTAGAGAAAAACTGTGGAAATTTGCCGCTTTTTGTTGCTAGTTAAATGTGAAAACCCAAAAATTTGCCGCTCTTTTTCTCCATGAAAAAATCGTGTCTGAAAAAAACTTCGTGTTTCGCAAGCTTGCCGTTAAGTTAGACCGACATCATCACAAAAA